ATACAGATTAAAAATACCCATCTTGGAATAAAGGCTACTAAAAGTGGATTATGCTAATGGTTTGGTAAGAAAATTAAGTTGACCACAATATCTCCACGTAGACAATAAGTACGATAAAACTTCCATTCAGGGACTTCTTTAATGAACACATATTACCACAACAACAAATCCAGGTGGTTTCATCATGTGAAGTCTAAGACATCTCTTTGGTTTGCTAGAGAATCAATTAACGATCATACCAAAACAAGCAATAGCAAAAGACGATCACAACAATACAAAGGAAAAGAACACTGCAATGGCAAAAGGCAAACACAACATTGCCATTGCCACCAACAACAATACCAACACAAACGAACACAACCAACACCACCACAATAATCCACTGACAATAACAAATTAAACTGCAACAATCAAAAACAGAAGAAACCAAGTAGAACTTAAGATGAATCAGCCAAAAAAGGACTGAACCGGTGCTGAAAACCACAAAAACAATACTGAATCGAGATGAAAACTCTAAAATTTGCACTAATCTAGTTTGAAAACACTAAGTCGAAAACTATTGAACAAACACTAAACCAAATTGAAAACATTGAACTGAAACTAAGCCGGAATAGAAATCACTAAACCAGCACCAAACGATGCCTAAAACCAAAGAACGAACACTAAACTAGATTGAAAATTTGAAGTCAAAATTAAATCGGGATGAAATCTACTAAACCAACACCAAGTTGTGCCGAAAATCATTAAACTGACACTAAATTGGGCATACAACACTAAACCGAAATTAAACCGGGATGAAAACCAATAAACCAACACAAAACTGGCTTGAAAATCACTGCATTGGAACTAAATCAGACTGGAAATAGTGAACCGGAAATAAACGGGGATAAAAATTACTAAATTAGCACCAAAATGACCTGAAAACCACTAAATCAACACCAATCTGGGTCGAATATCATTGAACCAAAATTAAACCGAACTAAAAACACTAAAATTCACAGTGATAATCAGACACTGAAGGCATGAACATGGATTTTGGCACTTCACAACATCTAGTAATGAACACAACAACTGATGAACAAATGCAGACGACTACACTGGATGTGTGCTGGTCTGGCCCAACTACTAGGTGATTGAAACACTCGCCTAGGGTTAGGCCTGACTCACCAAGTATCTTTCTCTAATATCAAGTTGAAATTGAATAGTTGTATGTTAGAATAAATGAATTAAAGCGGATTAAAAACACTAAAATCTATAGTGATCTGCAGACACGAACTTGGATTCTGGCTCTTCATAACATCTAGTAATGATCACAACAACCTATGAACAAACACAGATGACTACAATTGGATGTGTGCTGGTCCGGCCCAACCACTCACCTAGGGTCAGGCTTGACTCACTCAAGTATCTTACTTTAATACCAAGTTGAAACTTGAATAATTGTATGCTAGGATAAATGAACTAAACCGAACTAAAAACACTAAAAATTTACAGTGATGATCAGACACCGAAGACACAAACACAGATTCTGGCTTTTCACAACATCTAGTAATGATCACAACAACCGACGAACAAACACAAACGACTACAATTGGATACGTGCTGGGCTGGCCCAACCACTAGGTGAGTGAAGTACTTGCCTAGGGTTAGGCCTGACTCACCCCAAGTATTTTACTTTGATACCAAGTTGAAATTTGAATAATTGTATGTTAGGGTAAAGGGAAAAAAAAAAAAAAGAGAAGAAGAGAGAAAGAAAGAGAGTATGAAACAATGTTGTGTGTAGGGTGTGTTGCCAACACCCTATCACCTATTCATGTTAGATAAGACAATTACAATCGATATTTGAAAAGGACAACATAATAGAAAAATCACATAATAGAAAAGTAACATTCTAACACCGTTATATGATATAAATATAGAAAATTGATATCATATATGCGTTTAATATGTTAACCATTAGTCATCTTTATCTTGCATCAAGGGCTAACATTTTGTTCACATTATTTTTCATGGAGTAATGCTTACATGGACTTAAATATTAGACTTAAAAACTAGATTTGATAATTAAAATCATTGATTTCACTATGGGTCCCAACATTTATTGGGACCCACTACTTATTTAATAGTTGTGATTATCAAGTCAAAATTTTAAGTCTAGTTTTTAAGTCCATGTAACATTACTCTTTTTCATATCACTGATTTAACATTGTAGGCATGATTAAGAGAATGCTGCTTGGTTTATGTTGATTGATTAAGATACAGTTTTTGCCTGCGGAAGTAGGGAGGCTGTTTCCAAATTAAAATCTAAGAAGTGATACTTCAGATTCTAAAAATTGTCCAGTCAAGGAGACTGAGGGGTTGCTTCATAACCCAGTTCAGTGCTTTAAACTGGAAATATGCAGTACTAGTTTGATTAAATGTGTTTGATGACATATGATCAGTGATAGCTTAATACATAATTTCCAATCTCAACCATTCAAAATAGCCTAACAATAAAGAAGATAAAAACAAATGGGCTGATTGTAAGGGTCCTCAAGCATACTACATTAACATTTGAATAGAGCCGCATGAACGGTGACAAACTACAGTAACTCGTGAGTCATGAAGAGTAACACCAATACAGTGCTTTTTTCTGTAATCAGATTGATCTTGCATGACATGCCCTGATTTTCACAATAAAATAATTTGTGTTGGACTTAGATTGTCACTTAAACTGTGCTTGACCTATGCCTAACATGCTCTGGATATGATTGAATAATTGTGGGGTGCAACTGAAATGATGATGTTAAGATGTACAAGTGGCAATACATTACAAGACCCTTCATTTTTTGTGGAGAAAGAAGGGAGAGATGGCACTGACTGAAACCAAAACTTGATGAGCAAAGTCGTTTAATATTTTCTTGCCTTTTGAAATGACTATTAACTAATGCACTATACAGAGTGTTGGTTTCATCTTACAAAATCATTTTACTTGTTTTAAAGTTGATTTGAACGTAGTTTTACGCACTGAAAGGACAACCACGAGGGTGATAGTCAAATTTTGGAAGGATTTTGTAAGTGGTGTGGTATTTGATTNGTTGAAATTTGAATAATTGTATTTTAGGGTAAAGGGAAAAAAAAAAAATAGAAGAGAGAAAGAAAGAGAGTATGAAACAATGTTGTGTGTAGGGTGTGTTGCCAACACCCTATCACCTATTCATGTTAGATAAGACAATTACAATCGATATTTGAAAAGGACAACATAATAGAAAAATCACATAATAGAAAAGTAACATTCTAACACCGTTATATGATATAAATATAGAAAATTGATATCATATATGCGTTTAATATGTTAACCATTAGTCATCTTTATCTTGCATCAAGGGCTAACATTTTGTTCACATTATTTTTCATGGAGTAATGCTTACATGGACTTAAATATTAGACTTAAAAACTAGATTTGATAATTAAAATCATTGATTTCACTATGGGTCCCAACATTTATTGGGACCCACTACTTATTTAATAGTTGTGATTATCAAGTCAAAATTTTAAGTCTAGTTTTTAAGTCCATGTAACATTACTCTTTTTCATATCACTGATTTAACATTGTAGGCATGATTAAGAGAATGCTGCTTGGTTTATGTTGATTGATTAAGATACAGTTTTTGCCTGCGGAAGTAGGGAGGCTGTTTCCAAATTAAAATCTAAGAAGTGATACTTCAGATTCTAAAAATTGTCCAGTCAAGGAGACTGAGGGGTTGCTTCATAACCCAGTTCAGTGCTTTAAACTGGAAATATGCAGTACTAGTTTGATTAAATGTGTTTGATGACATATGATCAGTGATAGCTTAATACATAATTTCCAATCTCAACCATTCAAAATAGCCTAACAATAAAGAAGATAAAAACAAATGGGCTGATTGTAAGGGTCCTCAAGCATACTACATTAACATTTGAATAGAGCCGCATGAACGGTGACAAACTACAGTAACTCGTGAGTCATGAAGAGTAACACCAATACAGTGCTTTTTTCTGTAATCAGATTGATCTTGCATGACATGCCCTGATTTTCACAATAAAATAATTTGTGTTGGACTTAGATTGTCACTTAAACTGTGCTTGACCTATGCCTAACATGCTCTGGATATGATTGAATAATTGTGGGGTGCAACTGAAATGATGATGTTAAGATGTACAAGTGGCAATACATTACAAGACCCTTCATTTTTTGTGGAGAAAGAAGGGAGAGATGGCACTGACTGAAACCAAAACTTGATGAGCAAAGTCGTTTAATATTTTCTCGCCTTTTGAAATGACTATTAACTAATGCACTATACAGAGTGTTGGTTTCATCTTACAAAATCATTTTACTTGTTTTAAAGTTGATTTGAACGTAGTTTTACGCACTGAAAGGACAACCACGAGGGTGATAGTCAAATTTTGGAAGGATTTTGTAAGTGGTGTGGTATTTGATTCAGTTATGTGACATGAGGATGATTTATAGCCAATTCTGAGCAGTGCACATGAAAGCTTTATTGAGTTAAATATTTAAAAAAGTAAGATGGTACGATGTCCCCTTATTGTTCCTACACCTAAGAGCTTCTCAATCACTGATAACTACTGCCTATATGTACAGTAAATACATTTGTGGTGGCTCTCAAATCTCAATGCCACATCTGGATTGCTGATGCATATGATGGAAGATCAGAAGAATAAATAATTTTCTTATTTTTTAATCCTCAAGTGAAAATTAATACAAAAATGCATACTTAATATTTGAGAAAATGGAATATTTTGAATTAGAATTGTGTGGTGACCCCTTCTTTTTTTGGGAAGGAAATATGAATGATTTTATCCTCACAAAACTGAAATTATCTGTCCAGTCTGCAAGATAATTTTGGTGCTATGTTCTTTCAATTTGAAATAGCTATTTTCACAGCTGTTTAATGTCGAATTTGTAGTTTGACATTCAGTCAGACCATTTTTGACATAATTATGTTGCTCACAATATAAGCATGGGTTGGAGCCCAACCAATGGCACCAACCTTTTGGCTGTGCAAACTGCAAAGGTTATGTCTGTAACCTATCCTTCCTTTTCAGTACCTGGCATTCAGTGGGTTGTAGAGTCATGTTGTACCATGTTAAATGCAATGAATGAACTCCTTCAATTAACACCTAAGTGCCACGTTCGTTATCTTTCTTTTTTTGTATTTTCATTGATTTTAGAATACNTAACACCTAAGTGCTACGTTCGTTATCTTTCTTTTTTTGTATTTTCATTGATTTTAGAATACAATTATTTCNTCAATTAACACCTAAGTGCCACGTTCGTTATCTTTCTTTTTTTGTATTTTCATTGATTTTAGAATACAATTATTTCAGGATCTTCCAAACTATGCTCAACACACAGTGCCCATCTTCTCACTCCCCCAAGAATGGCTATGGTGCGAGTCATGGTGTGGTAATGCGACAAAATCGAAGGCAAAAACCATAGATCTCTGCAATAATCCCATGACAAAGGAACCTAAGCTTCAGGTGAATATCTGATTCTTCTCCTCTACTAATTACCGGTGCACGTGTGATAATCACTTCTTTCTTTATTCATAAATTTTATTCCATATCTTCATGGTACACACACACCCAGGGTGCCAAGAGAATAGTTGTGGAGTGGCCAGAACTTGACTTGGAAGCAAGACAGTTCACAGCAAAAATCTTAGGTGAAGATATGGATCCCCAAGAGCAGGTGTCATCCCCTGTTCAGACAGAAAACCCAATCGGCGACCTTTCATCAGAAGACAAGGAATCGAAGGCAGAGTTGTAAATATGAAATGCTAAGCAACAGTTCTGGATAACTTTGTTGCCTGATCTTATTCCGCTCTAAGTCATTTATGAGTACTTTCTCAATCAGCATTTTAGGTGTATTCTAATTTCTACATGGAAGAATCGGGGCATGCACCTACCATTGAGCCAAGAGCCAGGAAAGAGCATAGGTACACTATCTCAAACCAATTCTGCATAAAAAATTCTCACAACCATGTTCATCATATTTCAAGGAGATGTATTTGACGATTCAAAGTTGCCTCATTATACAACTCAAATTTTGGCGTTACCCTTTTTTGGCAACTGAGGCTCCACCCGGTAGGGGGTGGATTGACATACCAGAGACTTTAGGATTCTGATGAAATTCTGTACGATTTTTTATGTTGGGTGTCGTTCAAAGTTGAAACTTTTGAGGAGATGAATAAAAATATTCAGGAATCCAATTGTAGCTTTGATAGCATAGAAGTCTAATAGCTCCCCTCTATGGTTGAAAAGTTCTCTTTGATGGAAAATTATGTACTCTACATAGAAAAGGTTGGTTCATCTGGTAAAAATGCATTATGTTTTCCCAAGTTTTAGGTAGCTCAATCTCATAAAATGTCTATATTTGTTACACAAGGTAGAGAGTTTAAATTTTTACGAACCTACTTGTATATGATGGATCTTACTGGGATTCATAGCAAGTAATCTAGAGGGATTTGAAAAGAAAATGTACGTAATCTAGATCCCTGAGCAGTGCACTCTAGGTGGAATTGTCCTGGAAAATCTCATTGGTTCAGGGAGGGAGCACTTGTTGGGTTAAAGATTTATTTGCTACCTTATATCCACCAAAGGAGAGGTATGTTTGTGTAATTCAAACTTTTGACATTCAAATTCACAATAGAACTACCTACCTTATTGATGCGTCAAAGCCCGCCCACCCAGTCACCCACCATTGCACTTGAAGATATCCTCGTGGCCTGAGAATCATAACCCTTTGAGAGTAAAAACCCTTTAACCACCATTTGTTTGCAGTTTGACCGTTTTGTAGATGGAAAGTCCAGTCAACTAATAGGAGCTCCATTGACGTGGTTTCAGTAGAGGGTGAAAGTTTCGCCCTCTCTCCGTGGTCATAGGTTCAAACCAACCAACTTGCGGTGAACCTCTGGACCAGATATCAGTGGTGTTGTAGTGACAGACTTGATCGTCACAAATTAGTAACTATATTTTAAACCGAACATTATACGGCGGATAGACGAAAGGTCAAGGTACTGTCTTAAGTGGACAATATTTTAAAAAAAATTGAGGATGGGAGTGCCTTGAAGGAAGGCATCATATCATATATACACAGACAGACGCACATTTACCCATAAAAGTTAATAAATATAAAAAATTAAATTGAATGTACAACTATGTGGTTCATTATAAGGTCCAAAATTGACAATTATAGTTTTGAAATAGCATTCGTGTTTTATATGTATCTTTAGGCATGAGTTAATACTTTTCAAATAAAAATTTTGAATAATAATGAGTGAGTATAATTAAATAAGAACATGAATTAGTCAAATGCAAATTGAATTAGTGAATTTTGCAAAATAAGAAGGCAAATTCAAGAAAAATTCACTTCCAAAGAGTGAGTGAATTTGAGCGCGGACAGCATTGTTTGTTTTCACGAATTGTTGCGACTAAGAGCATCTCCGATGGAGATGTCAAATTTGGATTTGAAGGCTTATACAGTATTTTGACATGTAGAATTTGACATCAAATAATTTATTTTATTATATTTTTATCTTTAAATTTTTTAATATTAATTTAATATATACTTTTAAAATAAATTTTGAGATCAATTAAAATAAATACTATTAACGATAATTATTTTTAAAAATATTATAATTTTTATATCAAAATTTGACATACACATGCCAAATTTGGCATACTGTAAATTCATTTTTGCCAACATAACTTTTTTATACATCGACTGGAGAGAAAACAGATGCCAATTGAAAGTTTCGCCTAACATTTGACATATCGGTTAGAGATATTCTAAGGGGCCAACTAATATCACTTGGCTTAGCCATTGAAAATAGTCCCTAATAATCCCAAGGGATAACTCAAATGATAACACGAATGAATTGTATACTTAAATTTCTCTTAAATACTGATGGGTTAAGCCCAAATAGTCCAATTTATGTATTAAAGCCCAGCCCTGGTTGAGGAGCCCAACCTCATTGTGAATCCACCAAGTCCAAGACAGACCAAGGCCGGTTAGACTTCTTGCTTAGCACATCACCAAGAGGAGAGCACGGGAAGTTTATCTGCACCGCCTTAAGGAGCCCAAGGCTGGTTAGACTTCTTGCTTAGCACGTCACCAAGAGGAGAGCACGGGAAGTTTATCTGAACCACCGAAGGAAGAAAACGGTCCAATCATTGACCACGTTTCATGAAGAGCTCCCCAACCTCTTCCTTCCGTGGAGGATAAGTCGCGATCTCCACCAAAGATAATCTCTAAGCTGCGATAAAGAAGCCTTGAGGATATGTCATGATCTCCACAAGAATGATCTCTTAACTACTATAAAATGGCTCTAATCTGGGAGAGGAGAGGGACATGCTCCATCAGAGACTTACAGAAGACGAACCGACTACCGGAGATTACTATTGTCTTTGATTCTCCATTCTCCCTCTCAAAGCTTGTATCTCCATTCTCCACACCATTGAATCAATAAAATACCCGGCAACTGAAGCCATTGAAGAGTGGACGTAGGTCGAATTGACCGAACCACTATAAATTGTGTCTTCTTTAATTTTTTCGTTGATTTCATTGCATTTATTATCTACACTTGACAGGTGGTGTGCAAAACTATTTTTGTGCATCATCAAATACTACCACATTATTACCTGTATTTAATAGGATAGAGTGATCTCAAGCAATTGCTAGATGCTTTGTTTCAGAACTTCTTTATATGATTAGAATCGACAAATTTAAAGCAACTAAGATATTAATCAAGAGATTAATAAATAGAAAGACACTTTTAAAAAGTTTTTAAGTTACAATATATTGATGAAATAGTTTCTAGAACTAATTATACTTAAAATTAATTTAGAATTACTCCTAAAAATACTTAAATCGTGAGTCTTTGATGAGTTTAATTGTGTCCTTTGTAATCAATGCTGCTTTTATAGGCATTTCTCTATAGATGATTACACTGGCTTATTCAAACAGTTTTCCCATGTTTCTCTCTTGTTTTACCTTCTATTTTTTAAATTTCTATAGGCCATTAAGTATTATTGATAACTACTGCCTTTTCAAATTCCAGAATAATCGTTTCATTTGCTCCATCACAAGGGTTATAACCATCCTTAAATTTGACCATGCCACATCGAGTGGATGTTGTTGTCCGAAGAATCACTGACAGTGCGTATGTATCAAATATAAAAAAAATTTCATTAAATGGTGGTGTTTGGTTCACCATGGGAGGATTGGATTGGAATCCGAACTCAATCTAATCCAATGCAAAGTGGTCCGGATTGGAGAATTATAAAGATGAGATTCAAATCCTATCCCATCTTTGTATGAGATTCATTTGTTATGTGGGCTCCATTAACATGTGAAGATAAAATATGCTAAAATGACAATTTCACCATTATGTAAACAATGTGATGTAATCCTATACCATGTTTGGAACGAAATGAAAAAAAAAAGTCCAATCCATTAATATTGTTTTTTTTACAACAAAAAATATGAATCAATAAATTACGTATTTTTACAAAATATACCAATAAATATTTTTTGTTTAGTTATTTAATTAAATTTGTACAATACACTTTTAATCACAAAAATCATATGCATCATGAAAAAAAAAAAATTTCCAACACAAAAACAATACACATATCGATACCACTCAAGCCTAAGTCGTTATTTGTTTATTTATAGACAACCTGAAGTTGTGCGTTTAAAAATAAAAATTAATTGTTTTTTTTTTCAATAAATAGAAAAATTAATACGAACCATATTAAATTTTTTCAATGACCCAAATATAATTTATTTTCCATGAATTTTAGGACATTTTAATATTATTGCCTGAATTAATACCACAAATCAGGTCAATTTAAAATAGAAAAAATGTCAATGACACCCCTCTAGTTTATCATATATTTAAGGACACCCCCCTCTAATTTCTGAATCTTCAATGACACCCCTTTTAGTTTAATTTAAACATCACTAACACCCCTTACCATTAAACTATTATTTCTAACAAAATAAATTTATCTAAAATACCAAAAATGCCCCTACATAACCTCAAGTAATTTTTTTACATAAAATTTTATTAAAATTCAAGCTGTTAAAATTTAAAAAAAAAACAATTTTAGTAAATAATTTGTTAGTAAATACTAATTAGTAAATTTAAAAAAAAATTGAGCCTATTAATTTTTTTTTTTTACATATTAAAATTTGAGCCAATTTGAACTCTATCCAAGTTGTTAGAGCCAATTAAAATTCTCTTTCGAGTCGATTATAATTTATATTTTTTTCTTATTAAAATTTGTGTAAATTAAAATTAGATTTATTAAATTTAAGTCAATTAAAATTCATATATTTTTATATATTAAAATTTAGGCTGGTTAAAATTCAATGCAAATTAATTAAAATTTGATTTGAGTCGATAAAAAATAATTTTTAATTGGCTCAAACAAAATTTTAATTACCCCAAATTCTAATACGTAAAAAAAATATAATTTTTAATTGGCACAAATTTTAATATATGTAAAAAAATAAATTTTAATTAGCTTGAATCGAATTTTAATCGATTTGAATTTAATTACGTAAAAAAAATTAGAAAATAGAGAGGGTCTCATTGAAAATATACTTATCTAGAGGGGGTCTCATTGAAGATATGTTTATCTAGAGAGGGTGTGGATAAAGTTTATCCTCAAATATATCATAGACAATTTAGTAAAATTGTATTTTACTTAATATTTTTAATCTGACAGGAGGTGTTATTGAAGATTAAAAAACTAGAGGGG